TTTTTTTAAAGAAGCATTTTTATCATGAGCAGAAATGTGAATTTTACAATTTAGTTTCTGCATATAAACTTTTGTTACCAAAGTGTCTTGAAATTTACATACTTAACAATATTGCTTTTAAACAATGCCTTTTCTTTTTGTTTTTTTTTTTTGAGACAAGGCCTCGCGTCTGTCACTTTAGCTAGAAGTGCAGTTATGTGCGTCGGGATCGTGGCATACACTGCAAGCTTGATTCCCTGTGCTCAACTGATCCTCCCGACCTCAGCTCCCAAGTAGCTGGGTTCTACAGGTGCATGCTTGATCACTCAGCTAATTTTTGACATTTTTGTAACAGGACAGGGTCTTGGTATGTTTCCCAAGCTAGTGTTAAACTCCTGGCTCAAAGTAGTCCTCCCATCTCAGCCTTCCAGCAAGTCCTGGGATTACAGATGAGAGCCACTGTGCCCAGCCCTATGAACAGTTAACTCTTTTTTTTTTTTTTTTTTTTTTGGTATGTTTGGTTTACCTTTTTTTTTTTGAAAACAAAGTTTTGCTTGTGTTGCCCAAGTTGGAGTGTAATGGCACGCATCTTGGCTTACTGCAACCTCTGCCTCCTGAGTAGGCTGGGATTACAGCGCGCACGCCACCACGCTTGGCTAATTTTTGTATTTTTAGTAGATGAAATAGTTTACCATGTTTAGGCTGTCTCGAACTCCTGACCTCAGGTGACTGCCTGCTTGGCCTTCCCAAAGCTAGGATTACAGGCGGAGCCAACTGCGCCTGCTACTTTTTTTTTTTTTTTTTTTTTTTTTTGAGACGGAGTCTGGCTCTGTTCGCCCAGGCTGGAGTGCAGTGGCCGGATCTCAGCTCACTGCAAGCTCCGCCTCCCGGGTTCACCGCCATTCTCCTGCCTCAGCCTCCCGAGAGCTGGGACTACAGGCGGCGTCCGCTACCCGTCCCGGCTACTTTTTTTTGTATTTTTTAGTAGAGACGGGGGTTTCACCGGTTAGCCAGGATGGTCTCGGATCTCCTGACCTCGTGATCACCCCGTCTCGGCCTCCCGCAAAGTGCTGGGATTACAGGCTTGAGCCACCGCGCCCGGCCTACTTTTTTTTAATGCTTATCTTTTTCCTGCAGTGTGGTTTACTTTTGATATTTTACTGTGCATGTAGTACTTGGAAGTATTAAATTGTATTGGTATTGGTGACAGATGACACTGACTCTATTCTTAAATTATGGAAAATGACGTGTATGTGGTGTGTGTGTGTGTGTGTGTGTGTGTGTGTGTGTGTGTGTGTGTGTGTGTGAAGGGATCTCACTGTGTTGCCTAGGTGGACTTCAATGGCTATTCACAGGTGCAGTCATGCACTACAGCCTCAAACTCCTGGCCTCAGGAGATTCTGAGTAGCCTCCTGAGTAGCTGGGGATAGACATTCTTTCAGTTTCCTGGGAGGTCTTGTTTTTAAACCCGTCCTGCCTTAAATTGTTCTAATTTTAGTTCTGTGACTTTGAGTCTGAGGTAATTTTCAGTTTATTGGTATTAGAAACATTCCTGTGTTTGTGTACTGCTGGGTGTGAAATGTGAAGTTAAATTTTTAAATAGTTAATAGATACTATTAGATTGCTATACTTTTGTGGTTTATACTCTTCACTGTGAGAGTAGATTACTTGAAATGCTTGTGCTAGATGTTTTGTCTTTTCAAATTTTACAAATCTGGCCTGGCACAGTAGCTCACGCCTATAATCCCAGCACTTTGGGAGGCTGAGGTGGGTGGATCACCTGAGGTCAGGAGTTCAAGATCAGCCTGGGCAACATGGTTAAACCTTATCTCTACTAAAAACACAAAATTAGCCAGGCATAGTGGCACATGCCTGTCATCCCAGCTACTTGGGAGGCTGAGACAGGAGAATCACTTGAACCCAGAAGGCGGAGGTTGCAGTGAGCAGAGATTGCACCACTGCACTCCAGCCTGGGCAACAGAGTGAGACTCCGCCTCAAAAAAATAAATAAAAATAAAATAAATTTTACAAATTAATATTAAAAATAGTTTTTATATTTGTGTTTCCCTACTTTATATTAAACATATATATTTGCTGGCCTTTCTATTGCTTTTCTATGAATTTAATTTCCTGTTTTTTTCCCAGTGACACTGTTCATCTTTTACTAATTTTTAGGAGCTCCTTGTTTTTGTTTTTTGTTTTTTTTTTTTTGAGTTGGAGTCTTGCTTCGTTGCTCAGGCTAGAGTGCAGTGGCATTATCTCGGCTCACTGCACCTTCTACCTCCTGGGTTCAAGCAATTCTTCTGACCTCAGGTGATCCACCCACCTCCGCCTCCCAAAGTACTGGGATTACAGGGATGATCCACTGTGGCTGGCCAACATGTCTCTCTTTTTAAATAATTGATCTTGTCCAACGTGACATATTTCTCCATTCGTAGGAGAATGCATTTGATTTTAGAACTTTTCTGTGCAACTTTGAAAGGCTTTTCACATGCAGAAACTGATTTTCACATTGGCTTATCTAGTTTTAGTATATGTCTAGGATGTGTGTGTATGTGTGTCTGTGTATACATTTTTTAACATGGGGCATTTAGTCAAAGAAATTACAGTATTAAAAGCTAGATCTATGCTTATATTTGTTTTGTTTTTTTTTTTAATCCAAAATGTGTTTATTGAGATGGTTTCCCACTCATCTTGATTCAGAGTGCCTTTAGTGCTGCTTCCTCCTAAAGGAACATCCTTCTGTAAGCCTTGCTTTTCCTCCTGTAGGCTGGCAGAGGACAGTGGAGCAGCCAACACACAAAACTACCGTTTGTGCATGGCTAAAGACCGTGGTGATTTTATAGCATCCTGGGCATTTCACATCCATGAAGTAGGAATTGGGGCTCTGCACCAGGCGTTTCTTCTTGTGTTTCCTCCTCTCCTCTTCTGGGGAGGGATGAAGGAGATCCTTTGCGAGAGGCATGTTCTCGTGTGGGTAGGTCGTCACCGCCGGAAAAGCGATCTATGCTTATATTTGAAGGTAGTGTCAACGGGGTTTCTGAATATCTCTATTTAGGATTGAAGTATGTTGCTGCTATATGATTTTTTTAGAAGATGCTTTTTTCCTCCTTGTTTTCAGATGTCTGCCTTGAGTTTTCAGATGTCTCTCCTGATTTTTCAGATGTTTGCCTTGATAAAGGAATACCTTAGTAGAATTTTCTGTGATTAACAGGTTAGAGTTGTGCCACTCTTCCCTGAGACAACTTGTAGGGCCCTTGAAGCAGCATTGTCTGTGTACTTCATCTTGTTCTGCAAATATGACCTATGGTTTGTATGAGTATGTGCCATGAAAATGGTTAGGAAGGCCGGGCACAGTGGCTCACACTTATAATACCAGCACTTTGGGAGGCTGAGGCGGGTGGATCACCTGAGGTCAGGAGTTCGATACCAGCCTGGCAAACATGGAGAAACCCCGTCTCTACTAAAAATACAAAAATTAGCCAGGCATGGTGGTGCGTGCCTGTAATCCCAGCTAGTTGGGAGGCTGCGGCAGGAGGATTTCTTGAACCCGGGAGGAAGAGGTTGCAGTGAGCCGAGATCGTGCCACTGCATGCCACCCTGGGCAACAGAGCAAGACTGTCTCAAAAAAAAAAGAAAAAAAAAAGAAAAGAAAAAGAAAATGGTTAGGAAACATTAGCCTCCCTCTTTTTTTTTTTTGAAACAGAGTCTAGCTCTGTCGCCCAGGCTGGAGTGCAGTGGCACCATCTCGGCTCACTGCAAGCTCCGCCTCCTGGGTTCACACCATTCTCTTGCCTCAGCCTTCCGAGTAGCTGCAACTACAGGTGCCCACCACCACACCCGGATAATTTTTTGTATTTTTAGTAGAGACAGGGTTTCACCCTGTTATTAGCCAGGATGGTTTCGATCTCCTGACCACGTGAGCCATTGCACCCGGTCCTTAGCCTGCCTGTTAAGCTGTAAGTGGTCTCGATATGGAGACAGAAAGTAAAATACTATGAATGATAAATAATCTAGGACTTGAATTAAAGTGGGTGTATTTTTATTTTGTCACTTTTTATTAAAAGTTACTGTAGTGTGTTCTCTACTAAGTACCGGCACTATATTTTGAGTGCTTGCAAGACTTGGAATTCAATGTAAAATTACTGTTCTTGGACTGAGGTTACATTTTAGTCTTGTCAGTGGGTTCTTCACCAATCAATTGGAATTGATTCCAATACAGTCTTCCCCCACAGTTGAATATAGAATAAAATCTGTTGCACACTGGGTGTAGGGGCACATGTGTGGCAGGACTGCTTGAGCCTAGGAGTTCAAGACCAGCCTGGGCAACATAGTGAGACCTCATCTCAATTGAAATATGTATCTATACAAAAAATGAAATTCATTACAGTTCATCTTGCTGGAAAACAAAATACTGTTTTTTAATTTAAAAAAAATTTTTTAATTTAGAGATGGGGTCTTGCTGTGTTGACCAGGCTGGTCTCGAACTCCTGGCCTCAGGCAGTCCTCCCATCTGGGCCTCCCCAAGTGCCGGGATTACAGGTGTGGACAACTGTGCACGGCTGACAAAGTATTTTTTAAAGACGTACCACTAAATGGAGATTTGATTCACATTTAATAGTTTTTGACAAGTCTTTTCTATTTAAAAATGTTACTTTTTTTTGTAGCATTATTCTGGCTTTTCACTTAATTTAGTAAACATTTGAACGCCTTTGTATTCCAGATACTGAGCAAGATTGGCAGGGTTCTGCCCTTATGGAGCAGAAGGAAGGTAGGGAGACGGACTAAAACTTGAAAACTATCTAACGTAAGTACCATGCAGAAAATGAAACAGTATTAATTGGCAGAAGGAGAGCGGGCAATTTTGGATAGTGTGGTTAGGGAAAGCCTCTCTAAAGAGATGTCTCTTGGGTGGAGACAAGATGTGAAAAAACCCAGCTTGCCTGTTTTTGGGGTTTCAGCCTTCCAGGTGAAGAGAAGCACAAAGTTCGGAAGTCTTGAGGCACAAAGTCTGGCATGTTCTGAAAGAAGGCCTTTAGACACCTTGTCAAGGAGTTTAGATTTTATTCTGAGTTTTAAACAGGAAAGTGACACAATGAGTTGCATTTTAAGCTTGTTCAGGCTGTTACATGGATCATTAGGAACCATATCGTTTCAGGCTAGTAAGATGCTCAGATGAGTCTTCCTTCTATCTCTTCCCTCATCTATTTCTCTCTTATCTGGTCTTAAGCTCCTCCATCTTTTCCTTTTTAGTTGGAAAAAAACTCAAATATCTAGAAAAAAGAGGAGCTATATGTACTCCAAAAAAGGGACCTCACAGTAACCTGGGGATAGAGGTAGGTAGGAGTGAGTCAGGGCTCAGGTTGAGGTTCTAGAGGCACGAGGCAGCGAGATCTTGCTCTGGCATCCCCTCTTACAGAAATAAAATATGCTGATAGAAGTTTATAGTGTAATAGTAAAATATAAAAACAAAAAATAAGTAATGTAGAAAATAAAAACCCTTCACAGTCCTGCTGAAATGATCACTGTTAACACTTTAATTCTAGAGTTCCCCATCCATTTATTTATTTCTAGATTTCCCTCCCTCTTTGTAGATTAATATTAAAGAGGTTCAAACTATATATTTTGTTCATTTTTTGTTGTCTTGGATATCTTTTCCCATCTCTGTATATGTGGATCTACTTCATTTATCACCTGGATATTAACATGGTTTATTTAATTCCCTATTGTTAGGTATTTGGTTTTTACCATCGTTTTTCAAGGGTATAAATAGTGCTGCAAGGAATATGCTTACACATGTTTTTATACACTTGTCTTAGGCTTCTGTAGTATAGATTTCTGGAGAATACTAGATTATTCTTTGAGAACATTTCAAACTTTTAATAGATATTTCCATATTCTTTTCCAAAAAGGATGTACCAAGACTGTATGAGAATAACTCCATGTTGTGATCTTAAGTTGTCTCAAAACCTCTTTGGTTTTCTCAGCTGTCATCTAAGTATACTAAATATCTAACCTCCCTCTTAATTTGGGCATGTGATGTGATTTAGCACGTAGTGGATATTCAGTTAGAAACTTTTGATTGAAAACAAGGTTTGGATTCTGTGGTCCTTAATTCTAGGTCATTTCAGCTGTGACTAAAATGATTTGAGTGTTAGTGTTATATATGGGAAGGTAAGGGTTGTGGAGTCAGTGCAGCCCAGTTCAGAATCCTAGTTTGCCGCTTACAAGCTGTGTGTGAGAGAATTTTCTCAACTGTAAAATGGGGATATAATTCCTACCTAGAGTAGCACTGAAAGTAATGTGGATAATGATTGGAATGTATGCTATGTATCCTGCCTCATAATAGTAAGCTTCTAGTAAATAGTAGCTATTGTTAATAATAAAACAAGTTTCTGAAGGAGGAAGGCTTGAAAAGATGGGATTCCTTATCAACCTCAAAGTTTTCTAAAGGAGGAAACCCCACCCCCCTTACTTCTGCATGGTTTCTGACCATGAACTGAACTCTGAACTCTGAACTCTGAATGTTATGGTAGAAAATTCATATACTTCAAATTTAAACATATGGAATCTGGTTATTTTACCCACTGCTGGGGTGTTCTTGGGCAAGTAGCATGACTTCTCTGTCCAAAAAACAAAGGGTTTGCAGTGGCTTAACCTGTAATCCCGGTATTTTGGGAGGTTAAGGAGAGTGGATTGCCTGAGCTCAGGAGTTCGAGACCAGCCTGGGCAACATAGTGAGAGCCTTTCTCTACAAAAAACTGTTTTTAAAAATTAGCTGGGCATGGTGATGCGCATATGTGGTCCCAGCTACTTGGGAAGCTGAGGTAGGAGGATCATTTGAGCCTGGAAAATCGAAGCTGCAGTGAGCTGTGATCATGTCACTGCACTCCAGCCTGGGCGACACAGCAAGACCCTGTCTCAGAAAATAAATTAATTAAAAAGAAAATGTGGATAGAGGAAGGAATTAAAAATCTGGCCGGGCGTGGTGGCTCACACCTGTAATCCCAGATGTGATTTGGGAGGCCGAGGCGGGCAGATCACGAGTCAAGAGATAGAGACCATCCAGGCCAACATGGCCAACCCCATCTCTACTGAAAATACAGAAATCAGTTGGGCATGGTGGTGCATGCCTGTAATCCTGGCTACTCAGGAGGCTGAGGCAGCAGAATTGCTTGAACCTGGGAGGCAGAGGTTGCAGTGAGTCGAGATCACGCCACTGCCTGGTGACAGAGTGGACTCTGTCTCCAAAAAAAAAAAAGAAAGAAAAGAAACTCTCTGGGGTTCTTACACAAATTAAATGAGATAATTTATAAAGTGCCTAAAATACATCCTAGAAATAATAGTTTTTCTTCCATGAAGTCATAAATTCTGGCTTACACTTTTTTGCAGGTATTTCTCATAGTACTAATGGGTTCCTCACACTCAAGGATAGTTGCTCAGGAAGAAGAGAAATGTAATTGAAAAAGTAATAGACTAGTCTTGAGACCTGGGCTCATGTTCCAGTTTGGCCTTTTTTTTTTTTTTTGGAGGTGGAGTCTCGCTCTTGTCCCCCAAGCTGTGCAACCTCCACCTCCTGGGTTCAAGTGATTCTCCTGCCTCAGCCTCCCCAGTAGCTGGGATGACAGGCACCCACCGCCATGCCTGGCTAATTTTTGTATTTTAAGTAGTGATGGCATTTTACCATGTTAGCCAGGCTGGTCTGAAACTCCTGGCCTTAAGTGATGCACTGGCCTCTCGGCCTCCCAAAGTGCTGCGATTACAGGCGTGAGCCACTGTGCCTGGTCCCTTGCTAAATCTTTCTTTCTTTCTGGTTTTTTTTTTTTTTTTTTTTTTTTTGAGACGGAGTCTCGCTCTGTCGCCCAGGCTGGAGTACAGTGGCACGATCTCGGCTCACTGCAAGCTCCGCCTCCCAGGTTCACGCCATTCTCCTGCCTCAGCCTCCTGAGTAACTGGGACTACAGGTGCCCGCCACCACGCCTGGCTAATTTTTTGTATTTTTAGTAGAGATGGGGTTTCACCGTGTTAGGCAGGATGGTCTCAATCTCCTGGCCTTGTGATCCACCTGCCTCGGCCTCCCAAAGTGCTGGGATTACAGGTGTGAGCCACCGCGCCTGGCCATCCCTTGCTAAATCTTTTAACTGTTGGTCCCATTTTCCTCATCTATGAAATATTTTATGGAAATGTACTATTAAAGAAAATTTTCTTTGCTAATAAATGCAGGAGGTATCACTTATGAAAAACCCACATCGTGCTATTTTCATAATTGGTCTTTATATATTGTGTTCTTGGGTTAAATACTTTTGTTCTAGACTTATAATTATTTGTATTTCTTACCAGGTTTAAGAATTGTTTAAGCTGCATCAATGGAGCACATACAGGGAGCTTGGAAGACGATCAGCAATGGTTTTGGATTCAAAGATGCCGTGTTTGATGGCTCCAGCTGCATCTCTCCTACAATAGTTCAGCAGTTTGGCTATCAGCGCCGGGCATCAGATGATGGCAAACTCACAGATCCTTCTAAGACAAGCAACACTATCCGTGTTTTCTTGCCAAACAAGCAAAGAACAGTGGTATGTGAAAATTCTACTTAGGAAATTTAACTATTTATCTGCCTGTGGGACACATTAAGGATCATGTTGTTCAACTTAAAGACAGGCAAAATATTCATTGTCATATAGGGTCTTTATTAATTTTTTTTCTAACTGCAGATTCATTTCTTTATATTGCTGTTCCTTTCACACCCCCTATTTTTTCCCACCTCTTGGCCTTCCTTCTATTACTCTTGCTTGGAATGTCTTCCTTTGTGCCACTTCATCCAAACAAGTAGTACATTTTTATGGGTATATTTCAAAGAATTTTCTTTGAAAAGTCTCTAGGCCTTTCCAACTACTTTTTTTAGAAGACATTTTATTTCTTCTATTAAAATATTCACCTAAAGCTTTTTGAATATTACAACCAAGTATAAAGAAGAAAGTAAAATTACATAGAAAAAATTATTTTTGTGTATTTCATAGGCCCAGGACAAGTCTGAAGGCAGCTTAGAAATCATACAGTCGTCTTTTTCAGGGCACTGACACCAGCCAGTTAGTTCTGCATAGTTTATTTTTGTTGTACCAGTGACAGGTTCATATTGGCATCATGGCAGGACACTGCCACTAGGTTTTTGGATAGAAAATTTCTTTGTTGTTTTTGTTGTTGCTTTTTTGTTTTTGAGACAGATTCTCACTCTGTCACCCAGGCTGGAGTGCAGCTCACTGCAACCTCTGCCTTCTGGGTTGAAATGATTCTCCTGCCTCAGCCTGCCAAGTAGCTGGGACTACAGGCACATGTCACCACGCCCAGCTGATTTTTTTGTATTTTTAGTAGAGACGGGGTTTCACCATGTTGACCAGGCTGGTCTCAAACTCCTGACCTCAGGTAATCCACCTGCCTCGGCCTCCCAAACTGCTGGGATTACTGACGTGAGACACCGCCCCAGCCTGATACAAAACTTCAATTTTTCTAAGAATTTAGCACTCAAAAAAGTTATCTGGCCGGGTGTGGTGATTCATGCCTATAATGCCAGCACTTTGGGAGGCCGAGGTGGGCAGATGGCTTGAGCTCAGGAGTTCGAGACCAGTCTGGGCAACATGGCAAACCCCATCTCTACAAAAAAAATTTTTTTAAAGTAGGCTGGTTGTGGTGGCTCACGCCTGTAATCCCAGTACTTTGGGAGGCCAAGACCAGCGCATTACTTGAGGTCAGGAGTTCGAGACAAGCCTGGCCAACATGGTGAAACCCCATCTCTACTAAAATTACAAAAATTAGCCAAGCATGGTGTTGTGCGTTTGTAATCCCAGCTACTTGGGAGGCTGAGGCAGGAGAATCACTTGAACCTGGGAGGCAGAGGTTGCAGTGGGCCGGGATTGTGCCACTGCACTCCAGCCTGGGTGAAAGGGCGAGACTCTATCTGAAGAAAGAAATAACAACAAAAATGTAGCCAGGCGTGGTGGCACGCATCTGTAGTCCCAGCTGCTCGGTACTCAGGAGGCTGAGGTGGGAGGATGGCTTGAGCCCAGGAGGCAAAGGTCTCAGTGAGCTGAGACCGCACCGCTTCACCCCAGCCTGGGTGACAGAGAGCAGACCCCTTCTCAAAGAAAAAAAAAAAATTTCTACTATTATGGATAAAACAAAACCAACTACCTAGCCAAAACAGAAAAGTGAAATTGTATTGGTTTTGCTTAGTGGAACTGTTCAGAGAACTTGAGTTCAAAAACTTCCATGCCTCTTCCTCTCCCATCCTCTGTTCTTTGTGTAAAATCAATGCATTGTGTTTATACCGTATAGTCAGGTGAAGCAAGGTTCTGAGGTGGGGAACCCCAGTCCAGAGTTTTCTCTGTTTGCTTGTAACAGTTCCACTCTTCCCAATTTGTTAATAAATTGTTTATACTTTTTTTGTGAACCTAAGGAGCCTCCCCAGTATAGTGTTGAATACTTAGGTGCATTTTGAACTGAAGGCAAAACTCAAAAGTCCAATTAAAGTTTGAGTAAGTTTATCTTTGTCTCCCTAAAAATGAAAATTTTATGGCTGGCAAAATAAGTAGTAATAATCCCCTATATCTGAATAGTGGTCTTTCGTTTGCAAAGTAATTTTACCTACTGTTTCTCATTAATTTTCTTTCTGACCCTAAATTGAGAAGTCAGATATAGGAAGTGTGTGTTATGAGAAGTTGAAGACCATTTGGTGCTTCTTCAGAGTGTTACTGAGACTATCTTCTCCATCCCCATCTGCTACCAGTTTGCCCAGCAGGCTGGGAAACTTAATGTGGCATAGTGATTAAGTGTATGAACCTTTAAAAGAAGAAAACCCCAATTTACATCCTTGCATTGCCTTTTATTAGCTATATCATTTAAACAAGTTTTGTACTTTTTTGAGCCTGTTTCCTGACCTTTATGAAATGAGGCTTGTACTTAGTACAGTGACTGATTCATTAGTGAAGTGGTAGCTATGATGATGATGATTATATATTTTTTTTTAGATAGAGGCTCTCACTGTCACCCGGGCTGGAGTGCCTGATCTCGGCCCACTGCAACCTCCGCCTCCCAGGTTCAAGTGATTCTCCTTGCCTCAGCCTCCCAAGTAGCTGGGATTACAGGCACCCGCCACCCCATCTGGCTAATTTCTTTGTATTTTTGGTAGAGATGGGGTTTCACCATGTTGGCAAGGCTGGTCTCAAACTCCTGACCTTGTGATCTGCCTGGCTCACCTTCTCAAAGTGCTGGGATTACAGACGTGAGCCACCATGCCTGGCTGCTGTGACTATTTCTTAGCTTTTTAAACATCTATGTAGTCCTTGATCACCTCCATTTGAGCACAGCTAGTGGTTGGAAACCAAGCTTGACTTCTCCTACAGCTTATGAGAAGGTTGTGGCCTAGGTTAGTTTTGCCTATTTCTTTGGGTAAAGATGTACTAACTGTGAAAGAACTAGCTGCTTTCACCAGGCACCGAGCTTCAGGAAAGCAGTAGAGGAGGGAAGAGTCACTTAGGCCAGTACCATCAGTCAGCTGTTTTTACTCCTCCCCAGGTTGCTTCACTTCCTGAACCCAGAATGACTCTCATAATCACTCAGTGGGTTCTAGAAATTATTTAGCTGATTACAGCATGTATCCATAGAGGGCTGTAAAGAGGACAATGAAACAGAAGACGTGTATCTGATTTAAATAATTTTAGATGTGATAATTAGGTTTTTGAATGTTTCTTCTAATTTTTATTTTCTAAACATGTACCTCTTTGACTTCCTCCTGCCGCTGTTGCTGCTATTGTTGCTGCTGCTACTGCTTCTAATTATTATTAGATGAGTGATTGACTGGAGCCGAGGACCACTACTGTTAGAATCAGCTGACCAGCAGGTTAAAATACAGATTCGTTCTGTATGAATGGGCTTTATTCCATGCTAACTGAATCAGAATCCTTGGATGTGTTGGACAAGTAGATGGAATCTATGTTTTCACAAGCTTCTCTGAGGATTCTAATGCCAGCTACATTTGGGAACCTGACTGGATTAGACGATATTTAAAGAACTGTCCAGCTTGAATTATGATTTAATGAAGACTGATAATATAACAGATACCACTTTATAGCTTAGAAAACATTGTTATACAGTATTTGGTGCAGGTCATGATTCTGTTAGTGTGTGTTTATTACTCTTAGTTTTCCTCATTCTTAGTGTCTTCATAGTTCAGATCAGTATAGCTTACTTGTTTTGTTTCTGAAAAGCTGGAAATTGGTGGGTATCACTGCGTCAAGAAACTTTTAAAATAAACTTATTTTGGGACATTAAAAAATATATACAGACTGGATGCAGAGGCTCTTCCCTGTAATCCCAGCACTTTGGGAGGCTGACGAGCCCAGGAGTTTGAGACCAGCCTGGGCAATATAGTGAGATCTTGTCTCTACAAAAAACAAACAAACAAAAAAAACAAAGGGTAGTGCTGCCCATCTGTGGTCCCAGCTGAGACTGAGGCAGGAGGACCACTTGAACCGGGGTGGTCAAGGTTACATGAGTCATGATCATGCCATTGTATTCCAGCCTAGATGACAGAGCAAGACCCTGTCTCAGTATATATAATACAGATTTTACACACACACACACACACACCCCCACACACGTAGACAGAATAACAAATCTGATGTACAACTTACCCACCTTCAACACTTAGCTAACCATGGCAGTCCTGCTTAATCTGTGTTTTCATCCACTCCTTTCCCAATGTTTTGACACAAATCCCGGATATCGTTTGTCTGAACTATTTTGGTATGTACAAGGAACTTTTAAAGAATGCTAATTTTATTTATTTTTAAATAGGTAAAGCATTCATATGAGCCAGAAGTCTTGGGTGACCCCTGCCCCTGTGTCCCCATTTCTTTTCCTCAGAGGTTTCCTATGATCAATCTTCTATCTATTTGAAGAATCAGTTGGTTTCCCCTTACCCTGTTGTTCATGACCTTTGCTTTCTTCCACATCTCTGAAAGAGAGGAAAAACCATCGGTAGCTAAGGAGGCTATCACAAACTCCAAAGGAACTTTTTTCATTTGGAAAATCTTTTCCTTTCTCCCAGATGATTGATCCTCCCAGAAAATATTCCTCCCCTACTCCCATCACCTTCTGAGCTAATCTGTTACAAGTTCAAATTCTTCTACACTGTACTCTGAATGTGGAGTCCATCTTTGGGCTTCAAATAATGATTACTGGGCAGATAAGTCCCCATCAGTCCCTGGTGATAGCAAAATAAAGCCTTGTGAAAAACTTCTTACGTTGCCCCTGTCTGATATTTTTCAAATTCTTTAGGCTCACATGCATTTCCTTCTTTCCTAGATTGTTTTCTCTGCTTTGCATCCAAATACTATACCCTGGTTTGGAGCCTGGTAACTAGGAGGGCCCAGATACCTATGTCCTGTTTCTTAAGACTTTTTTCTGTTGTAAACCAGCTGGAGAAGGTTGGCTGGATTGGCATTGAGGTGCCTGGAGTAAGAGCCAAGATTAAGAACACTTTGGGCCTTTTGGAGCCCTGCTTTGCTTCCTTTCCCCTCCCCATGTATTCGCATAGGTAAATATATGCATACACTCACCACCTTCTGGGGAAGGGGTTGGCTGGCTGCTGTAAGCTGTTAACACTTTCAGAGGAGGAACTTTGCTGTAAGAAGTTAACAAGCACTGCAAATGTATGTTTTGCCCTCCTTGCTGGCCATACTGACTCTAGTTACTTTACTTTTGATTAACTCTTGGCTTTGAAGTTAACACATGGAGGACTTTTATTAAAACTCTGAAATTTTAGTTCAAATTTTTTTACAGCTGCCATTAATTGTGAGTGTCCTGGGCACTGACACTTCCCAATAGGGTTCTGAGTACCTGCCTAGCTTTTTGAGCGTTGAGTACAGGGAAATATAGAGAAGTTTGTGCCACTAAGGCTGCTTGGTATGGTATGCACATATATTTAAACTAAGATTGGTGTTTGTCCCTACAGCAGGGCTGGAGTTCTATATCTTCCGCTTCCTGCTTTGCCTTCACTAGTGTTAAGTACTTGTGAGATGGAATTTTTGTTAGAATGATTAGTCATTTTTGTTGAAATAAGTTGAAGTACAAATTTTGATCATAAAAACTCATGTATGTTTGTAGAGCAGATTGGCTTATTTCCTCTTTAATGAATCTAATGAACATACATGTGTATACATCTAATCACACAAAATTAGAGACATGTAAAGGAAAAGTTTATCATTTTCTCTGTCTTTTTTTTTTTTGAGACAGAGTCTCGCTCTGTCGCCCAAGCTGGAGTGCAGTGGCCGGATCTCAGCTCACAGCAAGCTCCACCTCCCGGGTTCATGCCATTCTCCTGCCTCAGCCTCCCGAGTAACTGGGACTACAGGCGCCCGCCACCTCGCCCGGCTAGTTTTTTGTATTTTTTAGTAGAGACGGGGTTTCACCATGTTAGCCAGGATGGTCTCGATCTCCTGACCTCGTGATCCACCCGTCTCGGCCTCCCAAAGTGCTGGGATTACATGCTTGAGCCACCGCACCCGGCCGTCATTTTCTCTTTCTTAACCACTATCTCTTGATATGAACAGCTAAGTGTAAATCTTTCCGCACTCATGTAACATACAAATTTCTTCACCTTTTTTTTTTTTTTTTGAGACAGAGTCTCACTCTTGTCATCCAGGCTGAAGTGCAATGGCGTGATCTCAGCTCACTGCATCCTCTCCCTCCTGGGTTCCAGCAATTCTCCTGCCTCAGCCTCATGAGTAGCTGAGATTACAGGTGTCCACCACCATGCCTGGCTAATTTTTGTATTTTTAGTAGAGACGGGGTCACTATGTTGGTCAGGCTGGTCTCGAACTCCTGACCTCAGGTGATCCACCTGCCTTGGGCTTCCCAAAGTGCTGAGATTACAGGTGTGAGCCACCGTGCCTGGCCTCTTCATCTTTAAAATAATCTTACTCTACTATTCTGAAGGATATTTTCTCCCAATTAATATATCATGGACTCCTCTCCATCCAGGTCATTATAAGTAATATAATAGCTGCATAATGTGACATAATACAGATGTCTCACACTTCATTCAAGTACTTACCTATTGCTGTACATTCAGGTTGTTTCATGTATGTGTGTGTGCGTGTGCTATCACAAGCAATGCTGTCATAAATTTGCCTGCACCTTTATAGACTGGTGCGTTTATTTCTGTGCCCACCTTTCCAAGGGATGCTGCAGCCTATGTTGGTCCTAAAGGTGATCCTTTGTTTGTAGGTCAATGTACGAAATGGAATGAGCTTGCATGACTGCCTTATGAAAGCACTCAAGGTGAGGGGCCTTCAACCAGAGTGCTGTGCAGTGTTCAGACTTCTCCATGAACACAAAGGGTAAGAGCTCAAAAGTCAATTGACTTCTTCAGACTAGTAAGGATCTTCTAGCTTCAAATAGCTATGTTTGTATTAAATTGTACTAGCTTCCTATAGAATATTGTATATTTCTATGCCTTTATAAAGAGATAATTCAGAAAAATAGGTATTAAGAAATTGAAATTATTGCTTGGACATTCTCTTGAAAAGTCCAATACCTGTAATTTTAACACTTTGGGAAACTGAGGCAAGAGTGTTGCTTGAGGCCAGGAGTTCAAGACCAGCGTGGGCACATAGTGAAGGCCCATCTCTACAAAAAAATTCTAAAAACTAGCCAGGCATGGTGGTGCGGCCCTGTAATCCTAGCTGTTCGAAATGTTAAGGTGAGAAGATTGCTTGAGTCGAGGGCTTTGAGGCTGCAGTGAGTCATGATTGTGCCACTGGACTCCAGCCTGGGCTGGAGCAAGATCCTATCTATTAAAAACAAAAAAGAAATAAACAAACAAAAAAATATGTTAGGTATTGATAATGTTTCCATGGATGGAAACGGTAATGTTAGATGCTATGTTTTTTGAGGCAAAGATTTTTCTTTGTGTTTACTGTGTTTACTGTAATGCATTATATAGACTGGGCACTCAGAAAGTGCATTATTATATATATAAAGAATGCTATCCTCGGGAGATTGACTTTTCTCATTCACTAATTTTTTTTTGTTGTTGTTCAGTTAAATGTGTCCTAATCCCTGCTGTTTAATAGATTGTTTAAAGATGCAGAAGCATTTCTGCTTCAGGGAAGATTCATAGTTTATCCTATTCCTAATGGTGGTGACAAGATAGAGGCATCCCCTCAAAGGCTAGGAGTAATACCTCAAAGCAGCAGAGCTGTCTGTAATTATCCATTATCCACTATTCCCTCCACCCCCAAAATATAGGGAAACCTTTAAAGGGTTCTTTTTTTACCCTCTTCTTGGAAAGGGTCAATTACATTATTCATCTTTAGCTTACATTTTTTCATGTTTCAAAGAATTCTCCAGTTTGAGAGAATAGCCCAGGGAATGAATCTACTCAAAAGGGTGAGTGTAATTCTCAATTTAGGTGTTTGTTGAAGTGCAAATCTTTGAAGCAGATGTTAACTTTTGCTGAATGTAGCCCAGGTTGGGTCCCTAAGCCAATCCATAGAGGTCCTTAAGGACTAGAGAGATTCTGAGACAGGGAGGGCTTGGTCTGCTCTCATCCAAGGCTGCACTAGTTTGGAGCTACTCTGGAGTCTCCAGGACAGAGAGCAGATTGTCATTAGGATCAGTCTGCAGATTGATGAGAAAATAAGGCTTGTCCTCCCTCTCTTCATAAGGGCAAAGTAGTCCTTTGGAATTATAGGGAGTTTGCCAGGTGCTGTATAGGTAATTATATTAATGAGTGTATTATTTACTGTTGGATAGTGAGAAAAATGGCTTGACTAGGCTTCTGGTAGATGATGAAGAGGCTTGAATGGTGCTGTACATGTTATCCTCTTTACCTGAGAATATTCTTCCTATGGAAAATGGGCCAGATTAACTGGATACAACATGAGAAAGGAATTGGGCATTGATTTTTACTTATATGTATCTGTTTTTTTATCTTATTTATACTGTAGGCAGAGAAAGTGTGGTTTCAGAATAGATTTTAAAAGACAGTTCTAAGTTTCTCATTGACTTATAGACCCTACAACTACAGATTTGAGTCTGTTATTAATAGAAAAGTACATTTTTCATTTGTGGTTCCTTTCTATTTATGTAGATTGAAATAGGCTACTGAAGACTAAATTTTGTACTGCAGCAATATTTATAATCCATTTTACAGGATTTGGGGATTTTTGTAAGATTTTAATGTTACAAATTCCAATTTAATGTATATTGACTTTATTGTGAGATTGTTATATATCGTTGTTTAAATAAAACTTTATTCTGGCCAGACATGGTGGTTCACGCCTATAATCCCAGCACTTTGGGAGGCTGAGGCAGGAGGACCGCTTGAGGTCGAGGATTCAAGACAAGCCTGGGCAACACAGCAAGACTCTGTCTCTACCAAAAAACATTTTTTTAAATAAATAGAAAACTTTATTCTTAGAACATGGGCTTTGGAGTTCAGCAGACCTAGATTCCAACATAGGCCCTTAAACTTGCTCTGTGGCCTTCAGCAAGTTACCTTCTTAGAGTCCCAGTTTTCTTATTTTTCAGATAGAAATAATACCTACTTCATAGGTTTGTTGTATGAATTAAATAAGTTATTGTTGTATGGATTAAATAAAGTTGTATTTATATAGCATGTGATAAATGGTAGCTGTTGTTATTTCTATTGCACTTTTACCTTGTTTAAACATTTCCTGTTTATGCTTTTTTTAAAAATTCTTTTTAGTAAAAAAGCACGCTTAGATTGGAATACTGATGCTGCCTCTTTGATTGGGGAAGAACTTCAAGTAGATTTCCTGGATCATGTTCCGCTCACAACACACAACTTTGTAAGTTGCAGATCTCCTCTCTTTCTGGCATGTTGAGGGCTTTGCCAGGCATAACAGAAATTTCTCAGGTAATATGCATATGTATATAGTTGAATTGTTTAAAGCTGTTTATGTTGTTGTTTACGGTAAGGCAATTTAGATTTCATTAGCCAGAGATACACTTCAATTTGTGATTATGAATTCTGTAAATGTTGGAAGTACGATTCATTCTGTAAAAACTCTTTTGGAGGCCAAGGAGGAAATGACTTTGTCTTTTGTCATCTTTTATTTATTCAGCATAATTTACACCTGTGTCCTTGTTGTAGGCTCGGAAGACGTTCCTGAAGCTTGCCTTCTGTGACATCTGTCAGAAATTCCTGCTCAATGGATTTCGATGTCAGACTTGTGGCTACAAATTTCATGAGCACTGTAGCACCAAAGTACCTACTATGTGTGTGGACTGGAGTAATATCAGACAACTCTTGTAAGGCATTGTTCTTTTTCTCAAGGAATATAGGGATGAGGAGTATAAATACTTTAAAGGGTATTTGGTGTAGATTTTGACTGGCAGGTTTGGATTCTAGACTCATTTAATGAATTGTGATCCAGAAACTACTTTAGAAACAGTGATAATTCTGAAACTAGCTAGGCTTGGTGGCATCGATACTCCAAAATGAGAGGTAGGAGTAGGACTTACTATCTGTCAAATTGAGATTGACATACTGTGACTGTGATTCAGTAAGGAAAAGAACAAAAGGATATGAAAACAAGAAGATTTTTTGCTTTTCTCTCTTAATAGTATCATCTACTAGGGTTGCTAGTAGATACTGCTGACACTGCTCTGTATTTTGTTGAATATGCTGAATGAGCCTTTGACAGTGAGAAAGAGCAGAAAGCACAGTTGATGCCATTTTCTTCACTTTAAACTGGAGAAAACTTAGTTGTTTGGAATTAAAATTGTTTGAATATAAAATCTTGAAAGATTCTTGTTTCTGTTAGGAGACAATATATTTCATATAGATAAAATTTTATTAAAGAATTTAGTTTATATTAAAAGTACATGGTCCAAACTGCCTTTTAAAAACTGTAACTAGGGATATGAAAAGTTTAAAGTTTTGTCCTTTTTTGATAGTACTAGAGAGACCAAGGGAGTGTTATTATTAGACCATGCTGAAAACATTTTTGCTTTCATGGTCACATATTGATTTTGTGATGAGAGCTTGAGTAGCACAAATGGCACAAGCTTTCAAAATTTATCTTATTTTTGTCCCCCCAGCCCCCACCACCTTTTTTTTTTTTTTTTTTTTTTCCTTTGAGATGAGTCTCTCTCTGTTGCCAGGCTGGAGTGCAGTGGCGTGATCTCGGCTCACTGCAACCTCCGCCTCCCGGGTTCAAGCGATTCTCCTGACTCTGCCTCCCAAGTAGCTCAGACTATAGGCACACACCACCACGCCCAGCTAAATTTTGTAATTTTAGTAGAGGTGAGGTTTCACCTTCTTGGCCAGTATGGTCTCGATCTCTTGACCTTGCGATCTGCCCACCTTGGCCTCCCAAAGTGCTGGGATTATAGGCGTGAGCTACCACACCCAGCATTTTTTTTTTTTTTTTAAAGACAGAATCTCGCTCTGTCTCACATGCTGGAGTGCAGTGGCATGATCACAGCTCACTGTAGCCTTGACCTCGGGTTCAAGTAATCCTCCTACCTCAGCCTCCTGAGTAACTGGGACTACAAGTGTTTGCCACCATGCCTAGCTAATTTTTGTGTTTTTTTTGTGGAGACGGGGTTTCACCATGTTGCCCAGGCTGGTCTAGAACTCTTGAGCTCAAGCAGTCTGTCCGCCTTGGCCTTCCAAAGTGGTATTGTTACAGGTGTGAGCCACCGCACCCGGTGGCACAAGATTCTGAGTCTAACAGACGTATGTCAGAATCTCACTGTTGTCATTAACCATAACCACAACTGAGTTTTCGTTCATGCATCTGAATAAAGGGGATATTACCTTCCTTGCATTGTTCTTACGAGGCTTGCTGACAAGTGCCCAGCTCATGGAAAGAAGGTGCCTAATTACTCACTTTTCTGTGATTTATTCCTCCTATTTTAGTCTTTTTATCTATCTATTTTCAAGATGGAATGTTTCCAGAAAAGCTCTATGTGACATAGTTTGTAAAATGTTCTACTGTAGTTTGAAAAACATTATTTTGATATAGCTAGACATAGGACCAGTATTTCCTAGAAATGCACACTGGGCCGGGCGTGGTGGCTCACGCCTGTAATCCCAGCACTTTGGGAGGCTAAAGTGGGTGAATCACCTGAGGTCAGGAGTTCGAGACCAGACTGGCCAACATGGTGAAACCCTGTCTCCACTAAAAGTACAAAAATTAGCTGGGCGTGGTGGTGTGTGCCTGTAATCCCAGCTACTTGGAAGGCTGAGGCAGGAGAACCCGGGAGGCGGAGGTTGCAGTAAGCCAAGATTGCTCCTCTGCACTCCAACCTGGGCAACAGAGCGAGACTCCATCTCAACAAAAAAAAAGAAAAAAAAAAGAAAAAGAAAAAGCATACTGGAGCCCGTATGTTTATTGGCAGGTCAGTATTATTCACATTCAATAATCATTCAAACCCAGTTATTTGGAATATTGTTCCCTTTATTCTAGGTAATGTAAAACAGTTGAGGAAAATGTGACTGGGAAAAGTTCAGTTTTAGTAGCTCTGAGTTTGCAAATGCAAGGCACGCTGATTGTCTTTGTAAGATTACTGTAAGCCTAAAAACCAGTCTTTCCCTGCTTTTGTTTAGATTGTTTCCAAATTCCACTATTGGTGATAGTGGAGTCCCAGCACTACCTTCTTTGACTATGCGTCGTATGCGAGAGTCTGTTTCCAGGATGCCTGTTAGGTAATTTTTTTACCTATAGCTTTTCTTTTAGAAAGTTATTGGTGGGGGGAGGTGGGGTTGGAAGCTCAAAGACAAAAAATAAGAGTTTCTTCACATTCTCTCCTCTCTATGTGGAAATCCCTTGCTGCTTCTGTGGAATGTGATACTGGTGGTACAGCAAAATGTAGAAATTTCTCTTTATGGATCTGTAGATCTTACATTCTGGAAAGTGACTTTGACTATAGTTTCTTCTGTTATCGTAGCATATTCCTTAATATGTCATTACATTTTAAAGAGCTTGAGATTCTACTTTCCTCAGTATGTACTGAGTTCAACCTCAATGGAAAGGGTCCCAAAACTTGATACAGTGATTCAATAAAAATAAAACCCTTGACTTTGAAATGCATGTTATGGCCTCGCATTTGCTAAAACCATGTATTTAAATAGACTAGTGTCTTTAAAAAACATTTAGTTATATTTTCAGCATAAATATTGTTTCTAATGTGTCTCTGAGTTTGCATATAACTTGTCTTTACTCTGTTTTCCAGCTTTACAATCAGTTTTGTTCAGTTCACATATTGCTCAGTGTTACACACATGAATTTGAAACCTAAAGTAAAATCTACATCCAAAATATCTTACTTTAGGCCAGGCATGGTAGCTCACGCCTGTAATCCCAGCACTTTGGGAGACCGAGGTGGGCAGACCACTTGAGGTCAGGAGTTCCAGACTAGCCTGGCCAACCAACATGGTGAAACTCCATCTCTACTAAAAATACAAAAAACTGGCTGGATGTGGTGATATGCGCCTCTTGGCCTAGCTACTTGGGAGGCTGAAGCAGGAGAATCTTGAACCTGGTAGGCAGTGAGCTGAGATGGCACTACTGCACTCCAGCCTGGGTGACAGAGCAAGACTCTGTCTCCAAAAAATACGCACACACACACACACACATAATGTGTAATCAGATAATGTTTAATGTGAAACTACTATGGAAATTATTAAAGGCAGCATATCTCAGAATAAGGAATTTGCATATGTCTGGATATATATTTGTGTATGACTTTTATTTTTCTTGATAATTTGAAAAGCAGATCTGACCAAGAGTTTGTAGTTACCTCTGAAGATTAGAAGAAACCAGGCCTCTGAAGCCATAAACAGAATTATGCGGGAAGGCATTTTTTCAAGACAATAGAACAATTTCCCTTAGAAAAGCTGGCCTTTTATCCCTTTAATTCATACATGGATGTTAACTCAATCTGAACAAACCTCAAACTAATCTTTAGAACAAATAATGAAAACGTCTGGCCTTTTTGCAAACATGCTCAGCACGTCTACTTATCTGTTTAAAATCTTAAAGTTCTCAAATTTAGTCTCTAAATTAAACTGGGCACGTTCCAACTAGCTTAATAAGTGGTAGTGTGGTTGTCAAATGTTAATCTATTCTTTCCCGGAGATGATGTAAAAATTTGGAGTATTCGGGTGGCGCTTTATTAAAAAAAAGAAAACTTACAATACATTCTCCTTTTCATTGAATTCCCAATACATATATTATTTCCTGTTCCAAATTTTGTATGCAAAAGCACCCAGACTTAAGATAATTTTTAGATGTCACGTATTTGAAAGAATCAAACATTGTGTCAAAGGTTGTACAGGTAGAGTTTGCCCTTAAGCATCTTAATCAAGTAGGTAGTTGAAAGACTTCACCAGTATGAAAGCCTAAATGCCAATCATGGAATTTTCTTTCTCCTCCTTGCCTAGTTCTCAGCACAGGTATTCTACACCTCACGCCTTCACCTTTAACACCTCCAGTCCCTCATCTGAAGGTTCCCTCTCCCAGAGGCAGAGGTCGACGTCCACACCTAATGTCCACATGGTCAGCACCACCCTGCCTGTGGACAGCAGGATGATTGAGGTAATAGGGCCCCTTGGGGGTGGTAATGTCAGTCAATTAATGGGGTGAGGGTGATATTTATTTCAGAGAGTTTTGGGTTTCAAATCTGATCAAAGAATGTTGCAACACTTTCTCAGGTCTCTGGACTTTTACAGTTTATTTTATATCCATAGTATCTTTAGACTGGCTGAATAGTCTGGTTGGTATATCATTCAAGTGGAGAACTAAAATTTCCTGAAAAATATGTTAACATTTGAACTCTTCCCATTATCAGATTTGAATAGGCTTTTAATGAACGAGTGCCTAAGATATTTAAAGAGGAGTTTAATTTTGGTGTGGGACAGAAAATAACAGTGATGGAGAACTACAGATTCTCTGGAAGACTTTTGTGATTTTATTTAGAAATAAAAGGGTGGAGTCCTAGGATTTAATAAGCAGGTATTTAGGGAGATGTCCAAGTGCCCAAAGCTAGTGTTTTTGAACTGCTTTTTCTTTTCTTGGCTTTTTGGTTATGTCCTATTGGTTTAATTTGCTTTCTGCTTCATCTTTAATAACAACTGAATACACTTAAATACTTCCTTTGTTCTTTATTCTTCTTTATTTCTCATTGCTTTGGACTAGAATAACAGCCTGAATGCTTCTCCCAGGGCGTGGTCCAGACGATTTTGTTTGAGGGGAAGAGTAGGTATTTTTCTTCATGCTTTTGCTTTCTTGTAATTAACAGGATTGCTAAAACTGTCAGACAGTAGACTACCAAAAATGAAATAGTTGCAAAGTTAAATTTATATTTCTTGTTGCTTGTTTCCATGTTTTCTTTTTTCCTTTTTTTTTTTTTTTTTGGCAGTAGAGTATATAGAAGTTAAAAAAAAAATGTTGTATATGGTATTGATGATAGGTGAAATGAATTTCTTAAGTTAGGCCAGGCATGGCGGTGTATGCCTGTTGTCCCAGCTACTCCAGAGGCTAAGGCAGGGGGATCACTGGAGCCCAGAAGTTCTAGGCTGTAGGGAGCTACAATTGTGCCTGTGATTAGCCACTGCACTCCAACTGGGACAACATGGTAAGAATCCCCCTTAAAAACAAACAAAAAATCTCAAGTTAGATTTTGAGGCCAAGGGCATTAAAAAGTTTTTTGTTTTTTGTTTTTTTTTTTAAATCAGTTCCAACCAGACTAATGTTAGACTGACTTAGTTGGTACTCACAGCATTGGTATTCTGTTTATATATTAGTACCAAATGTGTCAAGTTTGGTTGATAAACCCTGGAATAAATATCCTTTATTGAAAGCTTATCAGAGATAACTATGCTCTCTCTCATCATGTAGACATCTGCTGCCTCAGGCACAGTTTATTTCACTCAGACCTCAAATCACTTTCAACATAATTGTCCTGCCACTGTTGTGAGGAGGTCATGTATAAGCTATTAATTTTGTTATTTTGGCTTTATCATTATGATTAGTCCTGATAATACAATAATATACCAGTTACTGCTACTTTTATTAAATGGTTTGTTCCTGTAAGAACACTGTAATACTTACAGGGAACAATAAAGGTCAGAATTGGCTGGGTGGGAAGATCACTTGCGACCAGGAGTTCGAGACCAGCCTGGGCTATATGTAGCAAAACCCCACCTCTACAAAAAGGTATATGAAAATTAGCTAGGCTTGGTTGTGCGCACGTGCAGTCCTAGTTACTCAGGAGGCTCAGGCAGGAGGATTGCTTGAGCCCAGGAGTTTGAGGTTGTAATGAGCTATGTATGATTGTGTCAAGAATTTTTGAGTTTTTATTATAAAAGAATTAGCACAACTATTATGCCTAAATCATTTTTTACTTTGGAAGCAGGGTAAATTTTGATTCCTGTTATTTAATCACATATGAGTCAGCATTTTAAAAGTAGACTAATTGTTGCTTTATTTATTTAAATTGTTTGTAAGTCTCAAATTATTCATAGTTCTCTTGAGTATTTAGATTCCAGGAACAATAGAAAAATTCTTTCTAGGATAAATTGATCCAGCTGTAGAAATTAGCACAGAATAAAATATGGAATATTTAATGGATATAGGGAAGAAAATTACTATGACATTAAGGAAAATATCCTATTACATAGGAATATAATTGTGGTTAATAAAAATAAATTGTGCTTTGCTTTAAAAACAAAGAACAGATTACTTGGATAATGAAGCTACAGCTGCCGATTTCTATTGAAATCCACGTTATTTTTTGCCACTGTTTTGCACCTGGCAGTTATCCTGCTGTACTTAAAAACACAGATTCCTGGGCTTCCCATGTTCACCTCCAGAACATGCTCAGTCAATCCTGGGTTGAGGATTAGGGGTGGATCGTCATTCTTCTTTCCAGAGTCAGAATCACTATCCAAGTAATTCTGAAGACTAGCTAGTTTTGGGAACCAGAACTAGGCTTTCTTGTTAAATTCCGAATTATGTTTTGGGAGCAGAGGAACAGCTTGGTTTGATTCTTTTTATCTTTTAATAATATCATTGAGTGGGAGCATTCTAGTAATAGTTGTGTGGAACAAGTATCTTGTCTATACTGTAGTTACACAAAGATAATAGTAGGACCTCCCCCCAAAAAAATGTCCTTTTTGAGGATACGGGGGCCAAGTGGTTTTATATTATTCTATTATACTATTCTATTCCAAGTGATGAATTTTAGATTGGGGTTTAGGTCTCATGGAGGCCTCTGTGTTTTAAACTATTTTCCAAACAGTTTCTAATAAATTCTAAAGATAGCCTTTGCTTTCTCCCATGAGTAGAATGTAATCAATTTCCAAATTCACCCATAAGGCAGTGTTTTGTGGTGAAAGAGCTGAGGGCTGAGATCCGTGTGTGATGGTTTCTGGTTCTATTTCTGCCACCCCCTGGCTCTGCCAAGTGACCCTGCCAAGTCTCCTTACCTGTTCAGATGTGTTTTCTTATATGTAAAATGTTGGTTTTGAACTTGGATTTGTGATCTTTCCAGCTTTCTGTGATTTTAGGCTTGGATAAAGTATGTAGGCTGCTTACCTTTTTCAAATCCAACTTCTAGTTAATTTAGCCTAACTCCTTGTGGAGTAAGAGGGAGCTTCCCCCAGAATCCACCTCTCCACCCTGCCTTTTTTAAAAAAGTTTTGAGCCTCAGTGGAACAAGATTCTCAATCTTTGGAAGGGTCTCAGCTGAGAGTAACTTTGCTAGCTTCCCTTGAAAGAGTATGTTTGTTGTGTACATTGCTTTCTTTTGAGAAAAAGAATGTGGTTTTCATTATATATGAAAAACTAATACCAGGCTTGGCACGGTGGCTCACACCTGTAATCCCAGCACTTTGGGAGGCCGAGGCAGGTGGATCACCTGAGGTCAGGAGTTCAAGACCAGCCTGGCCAACATGGCAAAGCCCTGTCTCGACTAAAAATGCAAAAATTAGTCAGGCATGCTGGTGCACACCTGTAATCCCAGCTACTCGGGAGACTGAGGCAGAAGAATCGCTGGAACCTGGGAGGTGGAGGTTGCATTGAGCTGAGATTGCGCCACTGCACTCTAGCCTGGGTGACAGAGCAAGACTCCATCTAAAAAAAAACAAAAAAATTGATACCAGTCCCTCTAATATTTAATAAAAAACAGCCTTGGAGGTACTGGCCACTGATACTTACTGAATTTAATCAAGGAACGTTGATTAGAGTATGTTTAGGATTTTTATGGTTTTTAGAGGTTTTTTAATACTATTTTGTTCTTGCACATCCTTCTCTTCTCTTTTCCCTCCCCCAGAGAAAATCTTTTGTGTGTAGGAGTTGACCAGCTTTCCTTTTCTGTTTCAGGATGCAATTCGAAGTCACAGCGAATCAGGTACTTTTCCATAGTCATTTAGCCAACAATAATGGGCTTTTTTTCTTTATACGGTGTATCTTCTGTTGGCTTATCCTTGTGTGGATTCTGTTTGTCTTGTCTATTAAGCCTCACCTTCAGCCCTGTCCAGTAGCCCCAACAATCTGAGCCCAACAGGCTGGTCACAGCCGAAAACACCCGTGCCAGCACAAAGAGAGCGGGCACCAGTATCTGGGACCCAGGAGAAAAACAAAATTGTGAGTATAGAAACCGTACCTCCTGCCAATTAGGGTTCAGTAAGAAAAACCTCGTTGGAAATTAGAATACTTTTAACTTATTTTGGGAGAGGATTCTATTAAAGTATATTTAATGAAGGAGATTATAAATGTCACTGTCATTTTTGGCACACTTGCATCAGACAGCTTGCCAGTGCTTTAACTGAAATGGTATTTCTCAAAAGACAAAAATTGGAATTGTGATTAATATGTTTATCTTAAGATACGGAAACAGATGACATGGGTTGATCCTTTCTTTGATGCCCTCATTATCAAAAGATTATTACCGTTGCATGGAGTATAATAATGATCTCTACTTGTTTCAGAGGCCTCGTGGACAGAGAGATTCAAGCTATTACTGGGAAATAGAAGCCAGTGAAGTGATGCTGTCCACTCGGATTGGGTCAGGCTCTTTTGGAACTGTTTATAAGGGCAAATGGCACGGTAAGCTTGGGGCCTTCCGTTTACTTACTGCAGGGCTTTGGTGTGAAGTCAAGTTTCAGCTCAGGGGGCCAGGAGGAAGAGAAGACTGAGTGCTTCTGGGCTTACAGCAGTACTCTCCCTTAGATACTTGGTTATACTTGAAGACTGAGCTTAATTCTTTTTAGACTAGGTTCTTATAAAGCTCCCAGGATAATTAGAAATTAGTGAATAAGACTTGAGCCCTATAATCAGATGTCAGGAGTGCTTCTCCTTTAAACTGATTAAATACAGTCTGCACATGGGTCATGCTTGGAAGCTCCTTAAGTGAGCAAGAGTCTGCTGCTATGGAGGGAGCTTGGGTTCTAAAAACTGTAAGCTGGAAAGGACCTTAGAGATTGAAATGGGGGCTGATTTGCCCATGGTCATGCAGTTAGGCATAAGAAAGCTGGAAATCGCCTGAAATAACTTCTCTTTGTCCCGCCCTAGGATTAGTTGTGGGTATCCCTATCAAACAGGGAAGGCATAGACTTAATTATTGAATCTGTGTGGAATATTAGTGTTCTTATTTTAATGGAAACACTTTGTCACTTGGAAGAAAGGTACTATTTAACTTCTGTAGTTACAGCTTGTGTATTTTGGCAACACTCAACATTTTGGCAACATACTTAGCATTTCTCTGTTAGGTTTTTAATGCCTCTGGCTTTAGAACTTTGGCAAATAATAGGTATTTTCTTGAAAATGCTGCATGTTCCCAAAAAGTCATCTCTTCTAAATTCAGATTACAATAAAGCAAAAATCACAGAGTCCCTCAGTGCCTATACTTCTACTTTGGATGACACCGGAATTATCTTTAGAGATAAATGTGCAAATGTGCAAAGATTGAGAGAAGTTAAAAGCATCAAATGAATGGAGTATTAAAATTCAAGGTACTGAAAATATCAAACACCTCCAGTTTTGAGTACTTGGTGTTCTTTTTTTTTTGGAGATAGATTCTTGCTCTGTTGCCCAGGCTGGAGTACAGTGGCACAATCACAGCTCACTGCAGTCTTCCGTTCTTGGGCTCAAACAATCCTCCTTCCTAAGCCTCCCAAGTAGCTGGGAGCACAGGTGAATGCCCAGCTAATATTTTTTTATTTTTTGTAGAGACAAGGTCTATGCCCAGACAATGCCCAGCTATATATTTTTTTATTTTTTGTAGAGACAGCTAATATTTTTTTATTTTTTTTTATTTTTTGTAGAGACAAGGTCTCACTATATTGCCCAGGCTGGTCTCCAACTCCTGGACTCAAGCAGTCCTCTTGGGTCTCTCAAAATGCTGGGATTACAGGCATGAGCCACTGTGCCCAGCCTTACCTTGTGTTCTTTAATGCATGGTTTTTACCACTTGTAATTTACCATGCTCATTAATGCATGGTTTTTCACGATTTGTAGTTAATCATCTGACCAATTTCTAGTTCCTTAAGAGGATTGGCACCCGACTGAGCATTTGTAAAGTACATGTGGAATGATTCCTTTTCCTTTGAAAATTGCATCTGGCCGGGCAGGGTGGCTCACGCCTGTAATCCCAGCACTTTGGGAGGCTGAGGCAGGCAGATCACTTGAGCCTAGGAGTTCAAGAACAGCCTGGGCAACATCGTGAAATCCCATCTCTACCAAAAATTAGGTGGATATGATGGCACTCGCCTGTAGTCCCAGCTACTCGGAAGTCTGAGGCAGGAAGATTGCTTGAGCTCAGGAGGCGAATGTTGTAGTGAGCTGAGTACAGTGAGTACACACTACTGTACTCCAACCTGGGTGAAAGGGCAAGACCCTGTCTCAGAAAAAAAAGAAAATTGCATCTAGTATGTACTACCGGGCTGCCTCCCGGGTCCCAGAGAAATGATACTATTGTAGAATATTTATTTATATATATTTAGAGACAAGATCTGGCTCTGTTGCCCAGACTGGAGTACTGTGGCACAATCTTGGCTTACTGCAGTCTCTGCCTCCTGGGCTCAAGCCAGCCATCCTCCTGCCTCAGCCAAGTAGTTGGGACTATAGGCACATGCCACCACACCCAGCTAATTTTTGTATTTTTTGTAGAGATAGGGTTTCGCCTTGTTTCCTAGACTGGTCTTGAAATCATGAACTCAAGCGATCCGCCTGCCTCGGCCTCCTAAAGTACTGGTATTGCAGGCATAAGCCACCATGCCCAGCCAGTTGCAGAATATTTTAGATGGCATAAATATCTCCAGGATTCCTTAGGAAAGAAGAACACAAGCACTTTGTGGGATAGAGCACTTACTTGTATCTGAGATAAAAAGGCTGCTAGTAATTGTAGGAGGCAGAGCAATGGATATTGCATTTATTGCTTCTGTTAGCATTTGATCATTTTTGTATCACATTTTAAAAGCCCCAGCTAAAAGCCAGCGGATGAAGTTTAAGTTGTACCCAAGTTTAATTTTCCTCTGGTTGAGCACTTTTATTTGGGGATTCATAAGTTTTCAAGGTATTACTACATGGTTCTGCTTCCGAACTTTGTCTTCTCTCAATAGGGTGAGCTTTCAAACTGTGATAAAGATTATTTGTTACGGTGTTACTTCCATAAAGACTGCTATTAGAATGTAGATAACTTGTTTTTAAGATTCTAGGATTTTTTAGGCCAGGTGCGGTGGCTCACGCCTGTAATCCCAGCACTTTGGGAGGCTGAGGCGGGCTGATACAAGGTCAGGAGATCGAGACCATTCTGGCTAACACGGTGAAACCCCGTCTCTACTAAAAATACAAAAAATTAGCTGGGTGTGGTGGCGGCGCCTATAGTCCCAGCTACTCGCGAGGCTGAGGCAAAAGAATGGCGTGAACCCAGGAGGCGGAGCTTGCAGTGAGCCGAGATCGTGCCACTGCACTCCAGCCTGGGTGACAGAGCGAGACTCCGTCTCAAAAAAAAAAAAAAAAAAAAGACTGTAGGTTTTTTTAAGTCAGAAAGTCTCAAAAGTCAGAGGAGTGAGGAGCAGTGGACTTTTATGCCATGCTTTCAGAAAGCAAGCCCTGGTCTATGAATGAAGAAGAAAAATGAGTGGTCAAGGAAACATAATTTCTAGATTGTTTCGTGCAATACTTTTTTTCCCCCCATATTCTGGTTCCTGTATACAATATATCTGTTCAATATCTTAAAAATTACAACTGTTTTCATGATTTTGATTGAAGATTTTTTTAATTCAGCCGAGCCACTGTGGAAGTAAAGCAGAAAGGGTCTCAAAGCAACTCAGAGGCCTCAGATGCATAAACTAAAACTCAACAATTTAAAGCAGCGTCTCTGAGGCCCAAAGTTCACAACCTCCTTTTGAGCATTAAATTTGGCATCAAGCCTGGGTGCGGTGGCTCATGCCTGTAATCCCAGCACTTTGGGAGGCCAAGGCAGGCATATCATTTGGGGTCAAGAGTTCAAGACTAGCGTGACTGAAATGGTGAAACTCTGTCTCTGATAAAAATATAAAAATTAGCCGGGCGTGATGGCGCGCACCTGTAATCCCAGCTACTTAGGAGGCTGAGGTAGGAGAATTGCTTGAACCCAGGAGGTGGAGGTTGCAGTAAGCCAAGATCACACCACTGCACTCCAGCCTGGGCAACAGAACGAGACTCCATCTCAAAAAAAAAAAAAAATTCTCTAGGCCAGGTGTGGTGGCTCACACCTGTGATCCCTAGCACTTTGAGAGGTTGAGGTGGGAGGATCACTTTAGCCCAGGAAATCGAGACCAGCCTAGACAACATAGTGAGACCCTGTCTCTACAAGAAAACACAATTAGCTGAACGTGGTGCTGTGTGTCTGTTGTCCCAGCTACTCGAGAAACTGAGGCAGGAGGATCACTTGAGCCTGCGAGATAGAGGCTGCAGTGAACCATGATCACACCACTGCACTCCAGCCTGGGCAACAGAACAAGACGCTTTCTCTCCAAAAAAAAAAAAAAAAAAACTTAAGGACTTTATATTCTTAGCAGGGACAGTAAACAAGAAAAGCAGAATATATGGTGTGCTGTAATTGCTAAAGAGAAAAATGGAGGAAAGGAGATATGCACTGGCAGTCCCAGTTCAAAGTTTTTAGTAGGTTGGTCAGGGAGGAATCTGCCAAGAAAGTGGCATTTGCATGGAGGGTGAGGGTGGTGCAGATATCTAGGGAAGCAGTAACATCAAGTGCAAAGTGGACCACTCACCTGGCCTGTTCCGAGAACTCAAGGAGATCTTAGGACTTCATTTAGAGTGAGTGAGAGGTAGACTAATAGGAGTGAGGTCCAGTGGTAGGGTGTTTTAGGGTCCTATAAAGACTGAGTATCATTTGGGTTAAGTGGGATCCGGGGTCGTACGAGACTTTTAGGAGGTTTGGCCAGCCTTTGTTTGAAAATGAGTGTGATGAGAGAGCTCATGATCTGTCTGAAAGCCCATTCTATCTCCAGGTAGTTCCTACTAGTAGAAAATAGTTCTTAATTGGTTGCAGTGGCCCACATATAATTGGGTGCAGTGGCCAAACAGTTTAGGAGGCTGAGGCGGGAGAATACTTGAGGTCAGGAGTTTGAGACCAGCCTGGGCAACATGAGACCCTCGTCTCTACAAAAAAATTTTACAAATTAGCTGGGCGTGGTGGTGCACACCTGTATTGTAGTCCCAGTTACTTGGGAGGCTGAGGTGGGAGGATCCCTTGAGCCCAGGAGGTTGAGGCTGCAGTGAGTCATGATGGTGCTGCTGCACTGCAGTCTTGGTGACAGAGCAAGAGCCAGGGTGGGGCAAGGGGCGGGCATGGAATAGTTCTTTATTAGAGTTGAAATCCATTTTCCTATAATGTTTGCTCATTGATCCTAGCAGATTGAATGAATCCCTTTCGTAGCAGTCCTTGGATTGTTTATATGTAAATGAGGGGAATGCTGCAGAATAGAACATTGCTTCTGGATTTCATAAGAAATTGCAAATAATCTATTACCATAACTATGTTAACGAGAGCTGGCTGGCAGATGGATCCCTGCAAGTACCATGGGCTCTGTCTTTGGTTGACCCTGTTTGGTCTTCCCATCAGTGACTTAACCAGAGGTGTGATATGTATTTGCACAGTACTGAGGATTTAGAAAAGTGAGAAGAGTTCAACTGGCTAAGATGACAGAAAAAAGAAAAGATCAACTTTTAACAGAGATAAGTCCTATTTGTTGTTCCAAAAAGTAGAACTGGAGGGGGAAGATGTGGCTTAATGATAATGCTTGTGGAAACCGCTAAGGAAGTTCAGCTGACTACAAGGTCAGAGTAAGTCACTGCGTGAACTTTGGCTCTGAATTCTGAGGTTGTATTACTGATTAGGGCCAGAACAGGTGACACCAGAGGGTGGGTTCAGTGACAACTAGAGCATGCCCAGAGGAGAGCTATAAGAAGGAATGGACTGCAAAATGAGGCCCGTGAAATAGGAAGGTCCTTAGAAGCAGTTCCCCCTGAGCAATCATCCAGCATCTGCCAAGCCATGTGCCTGAACTCCTAGCCCTGTCCTATCCCATCCCATTAAAGACTCTGCCCTTTTCTGGGTCCTGGAGCCTGGGTCATAGCGTTGGCCATTTTCCCAGCACTCCCACTCAGTTGACTGCCTCATTGGGTCAGTTTACCTTCACAGGGTTTCTTGTCTTCATCCCTTCTTTCTAAGTCCCTACAGTCACCCATTGTGCTTGTACTTTTCCTGGGCTATTGCAGCAGATTCCTCTGTGGCCTCCCTCTTTCTGTCCTACAGGTGTCCAAATCCTACCCTAGAGTTTACTAAACACAGCTCAGGTTTCTCTCATCCCCCTCACCTCACCTTTATTTCTGATGTGCCCAGTCTGAAACATTCTCTCCTATTTACTAAAGTTCTTCCCTTGGTTTATATCCTATTTCTTTCAGAAAACCTTTCTATATCCTCTTGGAAAAGAGATTTACTTAGGCACCTGTAGTCCCAGCTACTTGGAAGGCTGAGGTCGGAAGATTGCTTGATCCCAGGAGTTCGAGGCCAGCCTAGGCAACATAGTGAGGGCCCATCTCCAAAAAAGAAAAAAAAAAAGATTTACTCCCCCATCTTGGGGAACCCCTTCTGTTCCAGCACTCCTGTCTTGGCTCCAACTGTACCAGAATGGACACTTACACAAAAGATTGTTGCCCTCCTACTCAGGGCTGGTTATACATGTGTCCCATATGGTATATCAGATCCATTTTTCTAGATAGAAGGTAGCTTTAAACATAGTGTGGATCTCTCCCATCCAGTCAGCAGCACCTTCACCGGCAGCCCATGGCCCAGGGTCCATGGTAAACCATTACCATGGTAATGCAGGTTAACTGGATGAGAGCCACTTTGGAGGCTGCTGTTAAAACACAGGGACTCATTGAAACTTTAGATGATAAAACCAGAGATCACGGGGAGACAGTTTGGTACCTATTGTGAGAACCATCTCTCTACCAGTTTTCTTCCCAAAAATGAAATGTGGAGGGCTGGGTGGGGTGGCTCACGCCGGTAATCCCAGCACACCGGGAGGCTGAGGCAGGCAGATCCTTTGAGATCAGAAGTTTGAGACCAGCCTGGGCAACATGGTGAAAACCCGTGTCCCCAAAAAATACAAAAATTAGCTGGGCATGGTGGAGCGTGCCTGTAATTCCAGCTACTCGGGAGGCTGAGGCAGGAGAGTCGCTTGTGGAGGTTGCAGTGAGCCGAGATTGTACCACTGCATTCCAGCCGGGGCGACAGAGCGAGACTCCATCTCAAAAAAAAAAAAAAGAGGAAGGCTCCAACAGAGAGGCTCCAGAAACACTTTAGTGACTCACGCCTGTAATCCCAGCACTTTGGGAGGCTGAGGCGGGCGGATCACAAGGTCAGGATATTGAGACCATCCTGGCTAACACAGTGAAACCCTGTCTCTACTAAAAATACAAAAAAAAAAAAAAAAAAAAAAAAAACATTAGCCAGGCGTGGGTGGCGGGCGCCTGTAGTCCCCAGCTACTCGGGAGGCTGAGGCAGGAGAATGGTGTGAACCCGGGAGGCAGACCTTGCAGTGAGCCAAGATTGCGCCACTGCACTCCAGCCTGGGTAACTGAGTGAGACTCCATCTCAGGAAAAAAAAAAAAAAAAAAAGAAAAGAAAGTGGCTTTTAAATTTATAGCACTCTAAAGTGGAACGGGATCCCTGGATGTGTCTAAAGTTATATCAAGAGGCTGGTTTTACAGTGCTTGATAGTCAGTTGTCAGTCTAGTAGGTAGGATAGCAACTGGAGTCAGACTGGGGTTTTGATCCTGGCTGCAGCACTCTTTGTTTTTTGACTGTATGACCTTGGGCAAGTGACTAAACTTCTCTGCTTGTTGTCTGAAGTGAAGATAAATTATTTACGTCATAGGGCAGCTGTGAGGATTAAAAGAGATAAAAGTACACACAGTGCCAGGGTTCAGTATTATTAGGATTACTTTTTAACGGTATTGAAGGCAGAGAAGCTTGATTTCAATATATATCTCTGAATTTTTCCTAGTGACCATCTTAGGTCTCACTGAAATGTGGATTCAGAGTTCAACCTCAGTAGTTGCTAAATGGTCTGCTTCCTTACACCAGCATCCAGCCCCAGTCATTCTGTATTTGCCAGGCCATTCATATCCATGCACTGATTTCATTCCCACAGGACAAGGTTTTGACCTGTCACACATGACCTCCCGTCTGGGGCTTGCCAGGATTGGTATGAATAGTTTAACCAAGACTATTGAAGGCCTAACTGTAGGGATAGCAGTTAACCTATGTAACTTTTTTGAGTCATTTGAATTATGTAGAAATTGGACCTGTAATCCCAGCACTTTGGGAGGCCAAGGTGGGAGGATTGCTTAAGCCCAGGAGGTCAAGGCCGCTGCGTGCCACTGTGTGCCACTGCACTCTAGCCTAGACAACAGAGTGAGACCCTGTCTCAAAAAAAAAATTTTGGAGATTTGTTGTATCTGTGTAGGTATGTGATTCTTTGGATAAATGATTCACTGTATCTTCTTCAAAACTAGGTTATTTGAAAGACTAAGATCAACTGATTGCACTGATTGCCAACTAATTTTGCAGGAGACGTTGCAGTAAAGATCCTAAAGGTTGTCGACCCAACCCCAGAGCAATTCCAGGCCTTCAGGAATGAGGTGGCTGTTCTGCGGTGAGTACAAAGCTGGCAGTCCAGTCCCTCTGGAGTGCTAGAGTGGGGGTACAAGGACTGCAGAGTTAGTGGACTGTGCCGCGGGTTGGGATGGGCGGGCAGTTAGGACTCACTTTGGAGTTCCTGTGGTTGGATGCTCCTCCCTTGAGAGCAAGGGATCTTTCCTTTAGTTTATGTGGCTGTCAGGCCTTTCGAAGAGCCCCTTCTCAGGAGAATACCCTCCTCTGGGCACAGTAAACTCAATAGCCCAAGTTCTATCTCTGGGTTTTGGTTTGAGGTGGGCAGAAATAGGCCCTATTTTTACCTTTATTTCCCAGAACCCTCTTTATAGCTGAGTTGCTTTATTTTAGACTTCAGAACAGTCAGCTTTCAAATCTTTCAGTCACTATTTAGACTTGTAGGAATAAGTCATATAATGGAGATTTCTACAGAGGAGTCCTTGTGACCTCCACGGGGAGGGTCATGGAGTGTACATTGATGGAAGATAATGTCGTCTCTGTAAGCAAGGCCAGCACTGAACTGATGGCCCAGTGAACTAATGGTGCGCTTCTCTATTTGCTCAGAATGCCACCTGGGTTATCAGCCATGTCATGTGTTTGTTTTTCTAGCCCCCTCCAGGTTGGGACTGGGGGTGGTGTCGAGAGCACAGAACCCAGTGTCCATGGAAAAGCACAGTAGACCTCCCTGAGCACTTTCCTCCTCCCTCTCCTCTCTTCACCTCCCCAGCAAAACACGGCATGTGAACATTCTGCTTTTCATGGGGTACATGACAAAGGACAACCTGGCAATTGTGACCCAGTGGTGCGAGGGCAGCAGCCTCTACAAACACCTGCATGTCCAGGAGACCAAGTTTCAGATGTTCCAGCTAATTGACATTGCCCGGCAGACGGCTCAGGGAATGGAGTGAGTAGATGGTCTGATGCCTCTCTGGGACCCAGGCATCAAATTTGTCCCTAAATTGGAACCAGAATCAGGAAAAGCCTTCTAGTCCATTAAGCGATTCTGTGATATCTTTGCGTAAGCCTCTGGCCTTGGCTGGAGGGGCCAGTTATCAGGAATGAGTTCTTCAGGTTCCAGCTGGGTGAGGTGGCTCACACCTGTAATCCCAGCACTTTGGGAGGTGAAGGCCAGTGGATCACTTGAGGCCAGTAGTTCGAGACGAGCCTTGCCAACATGGCAAAACCCTGTTTCTACTAAAAATACAAGAAATAACCAGGCATGGTGGCACATGCCTGTAATCCCAGCTACTAAGGAGGCCGGGACAGGAGAATCGCTTGAACGTGGAAGGCATAGGTTGCGGTGAGCTAAGATAACACTACTGCACTCCAGCCCGGGCTGCAGAGGGAGACTGTCTCAAAGAAAAAAAAAAAAAGTTCAGATTCCCCTGTTGGGACTGAACTTCCCCCTTGGCGCTTCCCCCTTGGGGCTCAGATTCGGGCTCTGCCTGCTACCCTCGCTTTATCAGAAACCTGAGAACATAGTGGGGGGCATGTACCTTCTGCTTGGATAGCTGTGGCAATGCCCTCTGCTCAGCTGTTTGAGGCATGGCTGTCCCACATGAGGGTTTAAACAGATGTCATTTTTGGGATAATTTTTTTTAATTTTTTTTTTTTTAATTAAAAACTTTTTCCTGGCCGGGCACGGTGGCTCACGCCTGTAATCCCAGCATTTTGGGAGGCTGAGGTGGGTGGATCACGAGGTCAGGAGTTCGAGACCAGCCTCACCAATATGGTGAAATTCCATCTCTACTAAAAATACAAAAATTAGCTGGTTGTGGTGGCACGCGCTTGTAATCCCAGCTACTCGAGAGGCTGAGGCAGAAAAATCGCTTCAACCTGGGAGGTGGAGGTTGCAGTGAGCGGAGATCATGCCATTGCACTCCAGCCTGGGCGACAGAGCCAGACTCCATCTCAAAAAAAAAAAAAATTCTTTCCTTAGAGAGACAGGGTCTCACTCTGTCACCTATCCTAGAGTGTAGTGGCGCGATCATAGCTCACTCCATCCTCGAACTCCTGGGCTCCAGCAATCCTCTTGGCTCAGTCTCATAGGTTGTTGGGACGGCAGGCACACGCTACCATGCCCAGCTAATTTTTGTGTATTTTGTAGAGTTGGAAGTCTCACTGTGTTGCCCAGACTGGTCTCAAACTGGCCTCAAGTGATCCTCCCACCTTTCCTGGCTAGCCCAGGGAGTGCTTCTCAAACTTTTCCTCAGAAGTGCCCCTTATGGTAGAGGAGTAGGAACTCCTTATACCCCCTAGACATCTGGGAGCTACTAAGGTATAGCTGTGCTTGCAAGTCCTACAGAAATTCTCATATTATCTTTAAAATTCATATGGAAGTTGCCTTCTGTATATTTTAAGAAATGGAATGACTTTTCAGAAAAATTGAGATATAATTCATATATCATAAAATTCCCCCTTTTAAAATGTACACCTCAGTGTTTTTCTGGTATTGTGTTGTGCAGCCATCACCACTATCTAATTTTAGAACATTTTCATTATCCAGGAAAGAAATATATGCCATTGTATTAGTCTGTTTGGGTTGCTCTAAAGGAAGACTTAAGGGTGGGTAATTTATAAAGAAAAGAGGTTTATTTGGCTCATGGTTCTGCAGACTGTACAAAAAGCATGACATCAGCATCTGTGTCTGGTGAGGCCCTCAGGAAGCTTTTACTCATGGCAGAAGGCAAGGGGAGCTGCATGTGACATGGTGAGAGAAAGGAGCAAGAGAGAGAGCATGGAGGGAGGTCCCAGACTCTTTAATAACCAGGTTTCATGTGAACTAATAGCATGTGAATTAATAGTGTGTGAACTCACTCGTTACTGCAGGGAGGGCACCCAGCCATTCGTGAGGAATCCGTCCCTATGACCCAAACACCTGCCACTTGGGTCCCACCTCCAACACTGGGGATCACATTTCAACTTGAGATTTGGAGTGGACAGATATCCAAATGATATACCCATTAGCGGTCACCTAATACCTCTCACCCACTTGCAACTATTTTCTGTTTCTACGGATTTTGCCTACTTTATAGTTTAATATAAATGCAATCATGTAAGATATGATATAATGATATAAAGATATATATAATGATATAGGAAGGTAGTCCCACAAGATTATAATACTGTATTTTTACTGTGCCTTTTCTATGTTTGGCTATTTTTTTTTTTTTTTTTGAGATGGAGTCTCGCTCTGTCGCCCAGGCTGGAGTGCGGTGGCGCCATCTCGGCTCACTGCAAGCTCTGCCTCCCGGGTTCATGCCATTCTCCTGCCTCAGCCTCCTGAGTAGCTGGGAGTACAGGCGCCCGCCACCACGCCTGGCCAATTTTTTGTATTTTTAATAGAGACGGGGTTTCACCGTGTTAGCCAGAATGGTCTTGTTCTCCTGACCTTGTGATCTGCCCGCCTGGCCCTCCCAAAGTGCTGGGATTAAAGGTATGAGCCACTGCGCCCGGCCTATGTTTGGCTATGTTTAGAGACACAAATACTCACCATGTTACAACCAGCTACAGTATTCAGTACACTGAGGGCCATAGAGGTTTGTAGCCTAAGTGCAACAGGCTATACTATTTAGCCAGGGTGTGTAGTAGGCTGTACCATCTTGGTTTGTGTAAGTACACTTTATGATGTTTGCATGATAACAAGTTGGCTAACAATACATTTCACAGAAGATATCCCTGCCGTTAAGTGATGCTTGACTGTGTATAATACATAAGATATGGTATTGTATGCCTGGGCGCTTTGACCCTGTTTAATATTTTCAAGATTAATCCAGGTTGTAGCATGTGTCACTACTTCATTCCTTTCTGAGTAACATGTCATTGTATGGATATGCCACATTATTCATTCATCAGTTATGGACATTGGGTTATCAGAATTACTTTTGAGTAAAACTGATGCTTGAAGAAGTATCAGCAATGGTCAGGCGCAGGGGCCCATGCCTGTAATCCAAGCATTTTGGGAGGCCAACGCGGGAGGATCACTTGAGCCCAGGAGTCAAGACCAGCTTGGGCAACACTGCAAGACCCTGTATCTACCAAAAAGTTTAAAATTAGCTGAACATGTGGCTGGGTGTGGTGGCTCATGCCTGTAATCCCAGCTACTAAGGAGGCCGGGACAGGAGAATCGCTTGAACGTGGAAGGCATAGGTTGCGGTGAGCTAAGATAACACTACTGC